GAAACACGTTCGGACATATCATGGTACTGTGCTACGCCCACACGACAGATGTGGGATCCAACTCAGAAACACTGAGCACCTTCGAAGACATAATCATCCGCCATGGTGACGCTCGATAACCAGCGTGGCAAGAGATTGCCTCGTGGAGCTTGAACAGTTCCCTGCAAGAAATTCCGGGAGTTGTCTCGAAGCAGATATCACACCAAGACTACCGTTCTTAAACGGTCAATTGAGCGGTGATGTGGGGCGGGGGGAGATGGCTTAGGGCGTTTGTAATAGAGGCTACACACGATGGATACCCTTAGTTACCGAAGTCGCCTTAGTCAACAATCAGTCAGAGAAATTAAATCTCAGCAACCACTACGCAGTGCAGATGCTAGCCCAAAGGACTTCTTTGTAAATATATTTCTCGTCGCCCAGCATTCTTTAAAATCTGTGATCTGTAACATAGACGCCCCCATCTTCGCTCCATCGTTGCTTTCAGATATGAACTCCCAACATCGCCCGCCAACCATGTTGCTCGAATCACCGCCAGATTTTGGCCAAGTGGGAAAATCATCCCTCGCTATCTCGCCATCAGTTGAGCCTCCCGACGATCCTACGTTTGATTCAGCTAAACTTTCACCGGAGCCCCTGAGGTTGGTAAGCAAGAAACGGTCCGCAGTCCGAAAAATCAACGAAGATCCATGGCGGACGTATGAGCCAGGTATGCAGATATATCTCGGCCGAGAAGTAATACTTGCGCAACATCGGGAAAACAATATGGAGCTGGTCGATGTCCAAAAGCTTCAACAGACACCTTCTCCCGTCGAACCTATGCTACAATTCATGGGTCAGATCTCCCACTCAAGTTTCCCGAGTCTCAAGGAGTGTTTTGTCCACGATGGTTGCATATTTCTCGTCTGGGAGCCGCTGGAGCTTTCCGTTAGCCAGTTATTAGCGGTGAAGAGCCCCATCGCCGAGAGCGAACTGGCGGCAATCGTCCGGCCGGTAAGTGTTAAGATGCTAAATGATAGATCCCTTCGCTCACATCCGACAGGTTCTTGAGGGTATACAATACCTGCGTAGTTGCGGAAGGGCGCTGGCAACGCTGAGCGCCGATACCATATTACTGACAGAATCCGGTGAGGTCAAGATCGGTAGGTAAAGCTGCAGGCCGAGGTTGACCCAACAATGCTGATGATAGACTACCACAGCCGGAGTGGAGCGCAGCTGTGAACTCAGCAAGGCAGAGATGAATGCAGCCACGTTGAAGCTGTTTGCCTTGGCCGGGATTGTCGACAAGATAATCGGAAAGACCCTGCCGTCATATCCATGGAGCGGCGAGGCCAAAAGCCTATCCCGAGACCTGAAAACCTTGTCATTAGAGGAATTATTACAGGTAAGCTCCGCATCCAGTAATTTTGCGGCCAAGGCTGATCAGATAGAACAAACACTGGAAAAAACTGGCAGCCCCAGGAGCCCTGAGGATGTTAGCGAAGGTAGCCAACAAGACCGCCTACCATAGAGCGGACATTCTTGACCGCTCGGCGCCCCTCTGCTGAGAGCTCTCCTGAGAGGCCCGTGAACTGGAGGTGGGCGGCAGTCACGTGGAATGACACGCCGGGACTGTTATTGGAGCCATGTTTGCTGCCAGCCAATCGAAGAACCCTTTCGCCTGGATCACGAATAAACTTAGGTTTTCTGCCTTTCCTTTCCGTCTTCACAGACATATGATAAGCAAGGGCACTTCAACAGGTCCCGGCGCAGTTCGCTCTTGTTCATATTTCCAGCCAATTCTATCCGCCTTGTCTTTTGGGATTCGTTCGCCTAGGTGGATTAGCCCATTCTTGCATATAGTACCATACTGTATCAGTCTGCCAGAAGTACGGCAGCTCAGGATACCCCCGAAAGGTATGGTGTTCGCACGGTCCAGGGGTATAGATCTCAGATTGCCATGATCCTATAGATTAAGATATCCATGCAACATTTTTCGAGCGCCGTTATGCTCTCACTTGGTTGTGACACAAATCGTAGAGTCCGAGCGGGGAGACAAATGCAATGCTCAACTACCGGAGGCATAGAACGTTGTATGTCCAAATGTTGTCAACGCCCTCTCGATGAAACGACTCGCCGTTAGCCTCAGGTTCATCCCCTCACTACTCAATGTGGGCCATTACTAATTCCACGCTAGAGCAGAGTCTTCACAATTAATCTGAAGCAGTGGACGAAGAGCTCCCATTCGCGGGAAAGGATAGGACCTTAAGGTACAGACCTGTCGATGTGCTTTAAAGTTGTCCTCGGGCATTGGGACTCTCAGTACTCTGTACAATGTCTTCCTAAGCCGAAATTACGAACATTCGGTCAGATCCAGGTCGATTACCCCAAAGGTGATTTTTTTCATAGTGCCCACCTGAATCTATGCACTTTCCGCGAAGTTTGTCGAGACTTTTACGTGGAGATAATTGCATGTATACCTAAGCATCGATGTAGCCAAATTCAGGGACAACTGCACCCGAGTGACCTTGTCGGCCGGAGGCGTCTGCGATTCGGGATAAAGATAGTGTCGTTGTGCTTTGCAGCAGCGTTTATGAATAGTATCGGCTTCTTTTTAGTCCCCATTCGCCGCCTGCGAGCACTATACGTCGTCTGTTTGTAAATCATGTTGCGGTGTTGTTGGGAAGAGAGTCCTGGCGGGGCAATGTCTTGTCCTATATATATATACACATCATGATGCCATATAGGGTACCTCGGCAATGATATTTGGAATGAAAATTTCCATCATAAAAGAAGAATTCAGGACTTGTATTCCATAAAAAGACCAGCAGAGTTATGGTATTCTCAAATAAAAACGCGTAAAAACGCGTTGCTCCGTGAGATCGACGCGGTTCAGCTGGTGCGAAATGCTTCTTCCTAATCGAGGGGTTCAACTCCCGTCGGGGGTTCAACTTGAAGACGCTAACTATTTTTGGCTGGAATAAACCACGTGACAAAGCAGCCAGCCCAGCTTTGGTGTGCCAGCAAAGCTACGAGATTCAGGTGACTAATCACATATCCTGGCCAATCCTTTCTGTTTATCCGATTCGACCCTTTGTTTTGATAGGACTTGTATCGCTTCGTTGACCCTAGCCCTTGCATAGACCAGCTCAGCTTGAAGGTCTCTCGCCTGGGACTCACTGGCGCGGAGTTGATCTTGAATTCGAGCAGTTTCTGCTTTCAAATGACGAACCTCCCGCAACGACTCCTCCAAACCGCCCCGGGTCCGATCCAGCTCGGCTTCTAGATCACGATTTTTAGATTCTAGACTGCGGATCTGTGCAGTAAATGTCCTGGGTCCCTCCTCATCTCTGCGAGGGGGCTAATCAAAGCTCATTAGCACCATCAAGGCTGCGGGATGAATATCACCCACCTTATCCACTCCGTCCTCCTGATTCAAAAGGGATGACTGCAAGGTCTCCGGAGCAACGGCCTCGAGAGAGCGGCCGAGTTCCTCACATATAGACCGGTATATGCGGATCTTTCCATCGCTAAGGCTCGATTGTAACAGGTGTTTGCTGGGCTCGGTCACGGACCAGGCGTATCCGTCCTCGGGCCGTGGATGGAGGCGGACCTGATTTGGAGCGACGATGAGACCAAGTCTCAAATCTAAAGGATGTCAGTCTCTCCAGAACCGAAATTACCCGGGGACTTACGGATGTGCGCAGCCAAAGCTTCTCGGCATCTTGTTCTTTCCAGAGCGCGCCTTTCGTTGCTGGAGATAGCCATGGTCATCGTCGGACAAGTGGAAGATATCCTTTATCTATTGTTACAGGTTCAGAGAAGGAGCGAAGCCCGTCGTTTTCACTATGTCGTTTAAACCCCGTCCGTATAAACGGGATCTTCACCCGTTTAAACGTTGGGAAAGGTCGTTTCACATTTTTTATGATAGACGCAGAAGTCGGCCATCTAGACAGAAACTGGAACATTCCATAACGATTGCTCGACAAGCTCCAAAGGTCAAGCTGCATGTTCGCGCAGAATAAAAAGGAGATAGCTCCTACACATTGCACTGTTCAACCAGTGTCCCATACTGCCCTCGAGTATCGAATATGGCACGTGTTACCCGCCAAACAAGGCGTGAAAGCAAAGCCACCGCTGCCGACACTATATCATTACTTGAGTCTGCCTCTGAGAAACCCCCCTACGACGAAGAAACAAACATAAACCGGTGTCCGGAAAGGAGCCGAGTCGACTGCTTGGCGACCAGAAAAAAGCTCTTTTCCCACTGCGGCTGCAAGATTACGTTGGTTTAGAGGCATGGTGGGCGTCCTTCAAGACACCTGGTTCACAGGCAATGGGCTCGGAGTGCAACGAGGGCCGAGAGTCTTCTACGGGGGATAGCCGATTAGATTGGATGCGACGTCTACGCCCCAAGCCCCACCGGCAAAGTGCACTGGCAGGGTAGAGGATAGGAAGACGGCCCTCTGAAGGCACTTACTATAAACCAATTATTTCCAAGGCGAATAATTTCACCTCTTTTCCCCTCGAATGGTGCTCTTTCCCCCTTCGATAAGTCACCATTTGCCGGCTTCGTCTGCTGTTCAGACCAGTTTGTGGTTCGTCCGGACAGCGGAAATCCCGGTCCATTCTCTGAGCTTATTTAGCGCAGGACCTGCCCGTGCACAGGATTGGGGGCTAATAGCCAAGGTTTTCATTGGGTCCTTAGACGAGGGCCGCCCATTCGAGAAAGGGCCCCGCAACCCGAGTTCCCCGAAATTACGTGCATTTGCATAAGTAGCTTAGTGATTTATTTGACTTGTTTAAACCGTATCACATAGCTCCAGAATTTATATTACGTGATTTGCTAGATCAGGCAAGCGACAACTTTTAAGCTATTTCCAATTGATCCAATCTCTGTTTTGAATATGATCAAATCAAGAGCGCGGTTCTTATAAGTCATTTATATGTGCCCTGACTTGCCACTCCGTCTTTCTCGGAGCATTCCTTCATACAGACCTAGAAGATCTTCACCTATCACTGATATGCGCGCTTCTTCTGGCGGCCCTTTCCCAGGATGTTTCCACCAGGGGCCGCGTCCATCACAAGCGACTCCGCAGGCCAATCCTCCTGGTTCTCAGCCACGTGCCCGAGCAGTTCCGCTGCCCAATCCCGACTGCGTTGTTTGCTGTCGACCAATCGAACCGTCGAACCGTGAGAAAGAAACATGGAAGAGCTTCTATCAGCCGCTGGGTTTCGACACGAAAACTGGGGAGCTTCTAGCTGCTCAGCGGTACCAGCCAGGATGTAGCCAAGTACATATGCACTCCTGCTGTTGGGAGGTCGCGCAGAATGTTACGGACTTCATGCCCCTGAACCAGACTTCCCTGATGGACTTTGCTCGCCATCTTCTTAACCTCAAACCCTTTGCCACCCAAACCCCTTTCGATTGTGAGACGAATGACGTTGATCATGAGCTATGGGCAGAGACGCAGCACAACCCCGAGAGTGACACGAATGCTGATCACGAATGCCGGGGGATCCTGTCTTCCGCGGCCTTCAAGAAGATTACCCGTTGGCTGAAGCAGAACCCACTGACTGCCAATGTTGACGATGTTCAAAAGATTGACAAGTGTCTGGCATATTGTATTTCGAGGGGAATGCCGTATGCCCTGGCTTCCGACAAAGACATGAATATCAGGCCCAACCTCATGAGAGCGTTGCAGAATCTGCAGACAAGCGACGCATCTCGTTTTCCAAAAACTTACAACCTAAGAGTGGCATGGGACAATATTCAGAGCGCGCTTGATGCTATGAAGAGCTCACCGTTGCCACGAGTCTTGAGGCCTATCCCTGAATTGAATGCGTCTCGAAGAATTATCAAGTTCTGCATCCCGACAGAGAAATGTCACCGATTGACATTTTCTTTCATCAGAATGCAGATCAAACCATCCGGCCTGCAACCTTCTATGATTATTTCGGGATTCGGTTATGACGGGAAGGGCCTGGGATGCTGGGGAGAGAACCATATCCTTAGAGTTCAAGCCCTGAAGGGGCTGCATCTGGCTCGAGACAGTTTCGCTGGCTTTACAGCAATTCGCGTCAAGAACAATGAGAAATGGAGTGAATGGTTTGGCACACCTAGAGATGGTGTTGACGACCTTGAGCTTGAGTGGGAAACCAAGAAAAACTTGATCCTTCATTTCGATGTAGGTTGGCTTTGAAGCCCTCCGTACATTATATTCCTAGTTCTGCGGCTGACCGAAATAGAAAACGCTCAATCGAATTACGGGTGCTGGTATCAAGTCTCGGGTGTCCGACCTGCCTCTTTAGCGCAAAGCAGTCAGCCGGGCGAAACACCGGCCATCGATCAATTGAATGTTTGCCTCGCAAGGGTTCCATAGGCCAGCCGCCGATATCGCAAGGTCATTTGGAAGAAAGTAGCTTAGACAGACCAGTTCTTGTTTGTAAAGATTGCACCAACAACCACAGAATGGCTGTTTCTCAGACGTAATGCCCCTTAACGACGTCACTTGTTTAACCATGGTAGAAACCACCACACAGCATTGGAACAAAAACCACTTCATTCAAGTATACATTTTAAGCAACTCTTATTCTATAAAGGCACGACCGAGGCACGCTTTGACGTGCGGTTGTTGCCAAGATAAAAACTATGGTTCATTCACAATCTTTCTTCTGTCGCTTACTATGCCGAATGAAGAGATCCTGTTGTGTTTGCTGCATATGGGAAAGCTGAGGCTGTGGCTGGACTGCCGATGCCCCGGGGCTTTGCGGGCAGGGCTGTGCCCAAACCGGCAAAGTCTGTACATATCCTGCCTGCGATATGCGATCCAGGAGGTCTCTGACTTCAACCCATCCGCCGAAGACTGTTGGCTCTGGCGGGGCCCCGAAGAATGCTGATCGCTGGTTCAAGGCAATCATTGGAAAGTAGTTATTCGAGCAGTCCAAGTCGGTAAATACCACCCCTTTATTGCACTGCGAAGTTGTCAACTGCTCTGGACAGCCGCAGGGAGCGTACCCTTCCGTATACGTGACTAGTGCAGAAGCATTAAGTTGTTGACCATTTGGCAGTGTCCCAAGGCTAGTGTTTTGGTCGGATGGAGACTTACGTGCATCCCCGTGTAATAGTTCCAATCGTGTACTGGCGCACCTCTCCTCGTGCAACACAACATGGTATCCGACTCGGGACCGATACGCTTTCCGAAATGACTCCATCTCATTATCCTCCCACGTAATGGTGAGACCATTGATCTGAGCTATTCGCCCCAACGTGATACTATGCGGCATATGCCGCAGACGTTGTCTGATTTGTCGTATGACTCCATTCTCAGCTGCCCTCGTCATGGGTGCAAGCCGGAAAATCGTTGGTAGCACCTTCCGCAGGAGCTCTTCGATGATATGATCGCAGTAGAATGGTGCGTTGGGCCCAGCCATGTTATCAGGCAAATGATCCCGGCAGGGATACTTGTGATGCATGACATCAAAGTCCAACCACCTGTGGTGAACCTTGAGCACTTGATGCTCGAGATCAAAGAAGGTATCAATCGAAGGATCAGGAGCATCGACAAACGAAACTTCAATATGCTTTGTGCTGTCATAGAGAGCCATACATGATTTCAAAATTCTCTGAACCGTTATGGCGAAAGATGAGTTGGGAGCTGAACATGCCGGGGCGCTGTTGAATATTGCAATCAGCTCTTCCTCCGCTGTTCTGATCGGGGAACTTGACCGGAGCAAGTTCCACAGCGATTCTGGAATTCTGGCTGGCTTTTTCTTTAGGTCATCGCGGATCACGTCCGCATTCTGGAAGTAGTTAATCTGTGTTCTTACAACCGCCGAATGGGCGTACGGACCTTGGCGTGGCATGTTGCACTATAATAAAACTGCTCTTCATTTGCCTCCCCTAGGAGGTATTTCCAAACCAAAGATCTTGTGCTTGGCTCCAAGAGACGGTCTGCCAGTTCCACATCTGGGGCCCCTGGAGAGTTCCACAAAAGGTCCACGTAGAGGGGAAGTGCCGATGCTTCGTCCTGACGGATGGCGGCCTCCCACATTCTCCGCACGAGGTTGGGTTGCTCCTCTTTGTCAATCATCTCTAACCGGCCACGATGAGCTGCCACTGTCAAAAAATTATACCCAAATTTGTAAGCAGCAGTCCCGAAGGCCGAGCCTATCAACAGAATCCCCTTGCAATAAACTTTGCCACTATACCTTTTGTCGAGGATGATGTCTCCTACGTCAGTTTCAATGATCTGTACCGGGTAAGAAAGACCGCGGATATCGAGAGAGATCTCCAACCACCTTTTAAAAACGTCCAACGCGACCTTCTCACGCCTCCGGTTGCGCTCTGGACCAATCGTGATTGCAACATCCCTCTCGATACGCGAGCGCAATTGGGTCATGTCCGCAGTGGGGTCGGTATAGTGGTTGGAATTGACATGCTTGGATGGGCGAATGAGACAGCAAAACTGGAAGTTAGGTGGCCCGCGGCTTCGGAAGCTCCAGTCACAGCCATCGGCAGCCATGTGCACTTTATAACCCTCCCTGGCCATCACCATAGCGGCCAACTTCAAGCCTTCTCCGTAGCACCCAGAGAGACGGTCATTCCCTTTCTTGGAGGTTTGCCCGAGCTGAAGATCGTCAGGTCGAAGTGAAGCACAGCAATTGGCCAGAATCACGCGCCCCGCTTTTTTCTCATACTTGATAAATCCTAAAGCGCGGCCGCGCCGATCCGGACGAGAGAGGTCTGGTACGACGACCGTGATGGATATGCAGTCACGCTTGTTCTCGTACCGGGGCTGAAAATCTCGAATCTCGAGCTGAAATCTTTCAACAATCGCATCTTTCCTATTTCCAATTAGATGTTTGTCAGCCTTGAGGGAGGCAGCCTACCAGTTCTGGTACAGTTCCCGAAAAGCAGCGGTGAGTCGGTTGGTTGGTTGGTTGGTTGGTTGATGTCATTTACGCTGACCCCTCGCTCTGAAAGCGATATGCAGCATACTACCACTATTTAGATATCCGCGTAAATACATGTAGAGTGTTCCACTTCCTGAAGAAACGAACTTAGAGCCTCGTCACGGCCTGCCGTGGCCTAACTGCCGTTCCCATTGTTAGGCTGCCCTCGTGGCGCGCGACTCCAAAACCGCTGTGACGCCTCGGCGAAGTCCAAAACGGCCTTGACCGTCTTCGCCCTTGAGACGGTGTCTGGTTTACCTTTCTTACCTTCAGTTGAGCCTCCCAGCAGACTCGAGACGCTGCTGAACGCGTCCCCCACTTCCCTCCGTAACTCCCTTCGAATATCCTTCAAAGATGGACAGTCCACTAGCACATGGGTGACAGTTTCTTGTGCGCCGCACACGCAGTGGTCGTCGCCGCGGAAGCCAAAACTCTTGGCGTAGGTGGATAGCCAATTGTGGCCTGTACGTAGCTGCGTTAGCAGGTACGCCCGGTTCCTGGGTAGGCTCCCATATAGCCTCCTCGTGTAGGCTGCTGGTAGCGTGCCGTCGATCTTCCGTAGGTGACTGCCTTTACTGGATGATCTCCATTCCTGTTCCCACTGACTGAGGATACCAACGCGCAGGCGTGCACTCTCCCTCGAGAGCAGCGGGCGGAACGTGTGGGTTTTGCCTGGGGACGCGGCGTCTTTGGCTAGTCGATCCGCAGTGTCGTTTCCAGGGTTATTGCAGTGCCCTGGCACCCATTGGAGACGGAGGGCAACCCCCTCGGCTTGGACCTCTGTGGCAGCTTGCAGGATCGCGTGCACGATCCGCTGGCCCGGTTTGTTCTTTGGGTTCTGAGCCGCCTGCAGGGCTGATCTACTGTCGCATAGGATCGTTGCTGTTTTTTGTGTACTGCCTAAGCTTGGCTGCTGACAGGCGATCTTGAACACCGTGCTGATGGCGTAGAAGATGCCAATGAGCTCCGCTACGTGAACCGACCATCGGTCCATTGGGCCCACCTGGACCTGTTGTGATTCGATAACCTGCAGGTTGTCGTCGAGTGCCACCACCGCCGCTCCCAGATAACCCTCGCGTCCAGAGGCATCTGAGTAGACCACAATGTCTGACATCGATCGCGCGGTTTCGGCTCGTTCAACGGCCGTTTCTCGATCCGATCCAACCTCAATCTCCGCAAAGGGTTCCTCTCGCCACGGTGCTAGCGGGCTTGGGTCAATCGTTTCTAGTTCATCCAATCTCTGCAAGTCCATGGTCTTTAGGGCTTCCGCTAGTGGGAACCTGGCGTAGTTTCCGATATTGTTCCTCCGTCTCTGGGCTCGGAGGAGCGCGCTCCAAATAGGATGCTTGCGGGGTAGAGTGTGGAGTCTCGCGATAGTGTGTTGGGCTCGGCGGCGGAGGCGGAGGTGAGTTGGGAGGACGTGCGCTTCTACTTCTAGGGTAGTGGTCGCTACTGTCTTGAACGCTGACAGGATACGGATCAGAGGGGCTCTCTGAACTGTGTTTAGGTGGCGTAGGTGGACTTTATCACGCAGAGGGTCATGCCAGACCGTTGACGAATAGTCGACTACTGGTGTGATGCATGCTTGATATATTTGTCGCATCTGTTCTGGGCGTAGATGTCGTAGTCCTGCCAGAGCGATAGCCACCTTGGTGGCACGTTTAATGGCTTGCTGTACGTGCTCTTTCCACCGCAACTCATGGTCGAACATCACACCCAGTAACTTGGCTGTGGGGGATGGTTTGACTGTCTTCCCGTTTATGACTACTTGCCCTTGCAGTTGCTCGCTTTTTCTCCTAGTGAAGTGGATAAGCTCGGTCTTTTCGGCCGCGAAGCAGGACCCAGTCCGTCGCGCCCACGCTTCGATGCGAGGGATGTCCTCGGACTGAATTTTGGCCAAGTTCTCCTCGGCCGAGCGGCCTACTCGCCAGCGGAAGTAGTCATCTATGAAGGCTGATGCGCCACCACGAAAGGTGACCGGTTGGTCGACGAGATCGGAGTTAAAGAAGGTGAACAGAATAGGTGAGAGTGGCGAGCCTTGTGCGAGTCCCGCGTTGACAAGCAGCGCGACCTCAGTACGGAAGTCGTCAAATCCTATGCTGGCGAAGCGGTCGGTCATAAAGCTCGCAATCCACCTTCTGGCGATGGCTGGTATTCCCTTTGCTCGGAGGCGGGCGTCGAGGCTGATTTTGTTGACTCCGTTGAAGGCACCCTTCTGATCGAACGCAATTAGCGTCACGACTCCAAGTTTATACCAAGCTTGGTCAATCGCATTGGAGAGTACTAGCAGGGCTTGTTCAGTAGTCCTGCCCGGTCGTCCACCGAATTGAGTATCCGGTAGCAAGCCGTGCTTCTCGGCGAGGTATGACAGTCGTCGAGCTATAACTGCCTCAAGAAGCTTTCCGAGAGTGTTGAGGAGCGAGATCGGGCGGTACGCCCCAGGGATCGAGTAGTCCGGCTTCCCTGGTTTCCGTAGTACTACGATCTTTGCTCCCCGCCATCGTTTCGGGTGGTGCCCTAGTTCGACTGATGCTGTGAAAATTCTGGTGATGAGTTTTCCCAGATGCTTCCATAGGTGTTTCCACACAAGCGTCGGTAGACCGTCCTCGCCTGGTGCCGTAGAGCTTTTAGCTGCTTTAAGAGACCGATGAATTTCCAGTTCCGTGATAGGTGGCCACGGTAGCTCCAGCGGGGTCTCGACTGGTGGGTCTTCATGCGGTTGGTCCATCTTAGGGAAGAAAGTGTCTAGGAATGCCCGTGCTTTGTCCTCGTTCTCTACCAGTATGTTGGAATCGACCTGCAAGGCTGGGACACTGCCCCAGGTTTCTCGCGGTTTCATGTAGGTAGCAGCTTTCCATAGCCTTCCTTCCCCAGCTCCGTCCAGGAAATGTTTCCAGTGTGACCTTTTGGCTTTTTCAATAGTGCGGGTCCAGGTCCGACGCTTTTGCTGCATCTCTTGGAAGAAGGTCACCGAGTGTGCATGGTCTCGCCCATATTCCGCACAGCTCTCTTGCCATTTCCGACGCAAGCGGTTGACCTCGGTCTGTTGGACTTTGAGGTCTGGCGTGAACCAGCGTTTGGAATAGGGAGACGGGCGTCGGTTTGGAGTGTGGGTCTCTACGGCGGATGCCGTGATTTCCGTGAGCCGTTCAACTATCTTGTCTAGAGCTGGTCTCGTTTTGATCTCTTTCCATGGGCCCATTCGCAGGAGCACTTCGGCTCCGATCTTGTCCCAGTCTGCTCGTTCATACGCTTTCCTTGTCTTAGCGGTGGGCTTGTGGTAGGATTTAAGGCTCCACTCCGAATATGTTGCTCGGTGGTCCGACCCGTAGTTCTCGTGGTAAAGATGACATCTAATAAGCAGGTCCGGTCGGTCCGTAACCGTCTGGTCAATAGTGGTGCTTTTTCCTGGGTCATTAAGGGGCCAAAAGGTCGCTGTGCCTCGAGGAAGGCAAGTTTGTAGCTTATGCTCTTGGAAGAATGTGATGAGTTCGCATGCGTCCTCAATAAATCTTGGTTGAATATGGTTGCCGCCCCACATTGGGTGATGACGGTTGAAATCTCCTGATAGGATGACGTTTATAGGCCTCCGATCGTCCTGTCGGGCGGCTGAAATTGTGTTTTGAATTGCTGTGAGCATGGGTTCTGCCGATCCTTCATCGGGGGCGTATAACGGGACAGAAGGGAGGTAAACGGAGAAAAGGAGAGTCTGGGAGTCGGCAGTCCAGATCTTGATGGCGGAAATGTCTGGGTGGTCGCACCGAATCTGCCGGTGCGAGGAAGTTGAGAGGTTGCGGTTAACATATACCAGGCTGCGAAACCGAACAGCGTCCGTGTCGACGGTTGGTCGGTATAGCCGCCAGGCACTGTGATTGACGTGTGTGTGATAGCTAGTGATAGACGGTTCCTGGATCAAGAGAATATCCAGGTTCTGACTTTGGTGGTCGTTGATAAGAGCTTCCATTCCCGGCCCCGATTTCATGATATTCAACTGTAGCACGCGAAGGTTCGTTTCTAACATTGAGGGGAGTTGGAAGTCGCGGGGTTAGGGCACTGTCGATCGCCGGTTGGGTGTTCGCCTCTGCAATCAAGGCATCGGGCCCGGACGCCTGGCGGGCATCGTTGCCGCTCGTGCGGGCCTGCACAGTGTCCGCATCGCGGTGTTTCCTTGCACGACCACGCTAGGTGTCCGAATCGTTGACATCGGAAGCATCTCTTTTTCTTGATCTCGCGGCGTTCTACGCTGCCGATGTATCTCTGGCCGACGACCAGCCCGTTGTTAAGGATGTATTCGGCTCCATCCGCAGAGTCGAACCAGATACCAAGGGAGGCAAACTTTCCTAGCATCTTATCCTTTCTTTTGAGCCATGCCACTTCTTCTATGTGGAAGCCTCGTTCCCCCAGGTCGTTATCTTCCATAATCTTCTCGATGGCATGAGCGTTCGCATTCTCCAAGTCGAAATCCTCTGTCGGGGTACGGTGCACGACGACGCCGAACCGTGGTTTCACCAGCTTCGTGCTGTTTCCTAGTTCATTTAACCATTCGGTGTTGTTGCGGGCCGCTTCGGCCGACTCTAGGTCCTTAAACCGAATCACATAGCCCGTTTTAGTGGTGCCGATCCCAGCCACCTGGGCGTCTTGGGTCGGTGGAGCGTTCAGCAGCGCGGTGCGGATGTGGGTGTTGGCGGCGTCTGTGGGGAGATAGCGGCCAAAGGTGTTTCCATTGCTATTGTCGTTGTCTGTCGGGTCCACAAAGGTTCGCTGGGTGCTAATGCGGACGCAGTTCTGGTCTTTGATGGTGCGATCGGGGTTTGGTTGGGGAGAAGCATTAATGCCATTAGCCGCTACCGCAGCCCACGATCTAGGCGGCGATGCTTGTGCGGTGGCTTCGATTTGAGTTCGCAGAGCTCTGACTTCCTCGTGGAGCTTCTCGTTCTGATCACGAAGGACATTCTGGTCGTGCTTGACCTCTTCGATCTCGGCCTTGGTGGATTCGATCAGCGCAGTTTGGCGGTGGATGATTAACTTCAGGTTGTCGATGAGCTGCCGGACCTCCTTGGTCGTCACCCGCCCATTATTGTCTTCGGTGCTGGCAAACTCAGGGTTCGAGCGTGCCACGGTGGTGATTTCATTCCCATGTCGAGGGCTCCTTCTCTTGCGAGGCACAATCGACGGTTCGAAGTTTTCGAGCGTGAAAAGCGCTGCCCCTCGTTGAGTATTTGTGGGAGGGGGTTCGGGCCCTCCCGGGGGTGGGTCCGCCATCGGTCCGGGGTTAGCTCCCGCTCGGCGCACAACCACAACAGTGTTATATCGAAGATAATATCAACCACCACGTTCTTCGCAGTGATTTCGATTTCCGTATCGCTTGAGCTACCGCACGCTCTCAGTCTCCAGTCTGATGGTGTCGACCTTCTACAGTCGCGGTGGTACAGTCCTTCCGGAAACCGGTGTCACCACCTACACTGTTCAATTGTTTCTCGAACCCCAATGCCAAGAAGCGCTAGTCTACTTTTAGCATAGTCAATAATTCGCGCCGTTTCTAGGCCTTTGTACCGCAAGAACCGGATAAACTCCATGACCACGCCCTGTGTAAATTACATGTCCTTGCTATACAGCTGCTACCTCGCTGCCCCATGTCCACTTTACTCACGTCCCCAAACCGTCTTCGTTGACAACTGATCATTACGCTAGTAGCGTAATGACCCATGGCACCGAATCTAGCTCAGTCTACGCTCGAGCTTATAAGCAGTGGTGATCTTACCACATCCCAGATGGCTGAAGCCGCTGGCTGCAGCAAGCGCGCAATCATCAGAATTCGCTCGAATTTGCGGCTGTTCGGGAGTATCAAATCCCTTTCCCTCAAAGGTGGACAGCCACGAAGCATGACGCCGACCATGCTAGAAGCCCTGTGTGAGCACCTGCTTGAAAAGCCAGATTTATACCTTTACGAGATGGAACTTTTCCTGCTGGATGAATTCGAAGTACCTATACCTAAGTCCACCATTAGGGATGCTCTTCATCGCCGCGGATGTTCCAAAAAGACAGCTCGACAAAGAGCAAAAGAGCGAAATGCAGATTTGCGTGACGAATATTCTCATTCAATCTCAGACTTTTGCTCATACCACCTCGTCTATATGGACGAATCTAGGTGTGATAAGCGGATAGGGTTCAGAAGAACAGGCTAATCTCCCCTCGGTACAACACCTGTCCAAGTGTCGAAATTTCATCGCGATCATCGGTATCAGATACTCCCTGCCTATGCTCAAGATGGAATCTTGCTCTCTCGCGTATTCCGAGGATCGACGGATGCCTCGTTCTTTGAAGATTTTATTAAAGAACTTCTGCAGAATTGTGGGAAATACCCTGAGCCTAAGTTTGGTCTCATTATGGACAATGCGTCTTTTCATCGTTCCGAGAGGATTGGGCAAATGTGCATTGAAAAGGGAGGCAAGCTGGTGTATTTACCACCGTATTCACCAGACCTGAACCCGATTGAAGAGTTCTTTGCCGAGCTAAAGGCATTCCTCCGGCGGCATTGGCAATCTTATGAAGACAACCCTGACCAGGGATTCGATACCTTCCTCGGGTGGTGTGTTGACATTGTGGGAGCAAGGGTGCAAAGTGCAAAGGTCATTTTCGACACGCAGGTCTCAACATTGAAGAGACATAGTGCCAATATATTGTACATAAAATTCATGATAACCCTGATTGCTAGCTGATGTCATTTCTTGACGTACGATACAGAGATTCTTGCCCGAGATCCGCAGAGCAAATATTCGTTTCACAGCAGCAGCCAAACCTGAATACAAACCGTTGGTGTTAAAAGCCAGCCACTAAGTCTTGGACTCAATGTATATTCCAAGTTCATTGAACCCTCTTCTCTCACGGCCATCTCCATGTGCCGAAGAATGTTCTCCATGAATAGCAGTAGTTATTTCCAAAAGCGAAGCCTAGATAACTTTCCTCTGCGGGGCTTTTGCGATTGAATTACTGCCTTTAATCGATTTGCAACTCGTCGGGTCTGGTGATGGTTCTGCCCGAGTGCCTTCTCGTAGCCTGCCAGTGCTCGCTGGAACATCTCCTCCGCCTCCATTAGCCTGCCCTGTATATTATAGAGCTCCCCAAGGTTGTTGACTGTATCGAGGGTAGACGTGTGATCTAGACCCAGTGCCTTCTCGTAGCCTGCAAGTGCTCGCTGGAACATCTCCTCCGCCTCCTTCAGCTTGCCCTGATCAGAATACAGAAGACCAAGGCTGTTGACTGTCATGAGGGTGGACGTGTGATCTGGACCCAGTGCCTTCTCGTAGCCTGCCAGTGCTCGCTGGTACATCTCCTCCGCCTCCTTTAGCCTTCCCTGTACACGGTAGAGCTCCCCAAGATTGTTGACTGTCATGAGGGTGGACGTGTGATCTAGACCCAGTGCCTTCTCACAGCCTGCCAGTGCTCGCTGGTACATCTCCTCCGCCCCCTTTAGCTTGCCCTGGTTATAGTAGAGACGACCAAGGTTGTTGACTGTCATGAGGGTGGACGTGTGATCTGGACCCAGTGCCTTCTCACAGCCTGCCAGTGCTCGCTGGTACATCTCCTCCGCCTCCTTTAGCTTGCCCTGTACACAGTAGAGATTCCCAAGGTTGTTGACTGTATCGAGGGTGGACGTATGATCTGGACCTAGTGCCTTCCGACAGCCTGCCAGTGCTCGTTGGTACATCTCCCCCGCCTCCTTCAGCTTCCCCTGATCATAGTAGAGAGTTCCAAGGTTGTGGACTGTAACGAGGGTGGACGTGTGATCTGGACCAAGTGCCTTCTCACAGCCTGCCAATGCTCGCTGGTACATCTCCTCCGCCTCCTTCAGCTTCCCCTGATTATAGTAGAGAGTTCCAAGGTTGTTGACTGTATCGAGGGTGGACGTGTGATCTGGACTCAGTGCCTTCTCGTAGCCTGCCAGTGCTCGCTGGAACATCTCCTCCGCCTCCATTAGCCTGCCCTGTATATTATAGAGCTCCCCAAGGTTGTTGACTGTATCGAGGGTAGACGTGTGATCTAGACCCAGTGCCTTCTCGTAGCCTGCAAGTGCTCGCTGGAACATCTCCTCCGCCTCCTTCAGCTTGCCCTGATCAGAATACAGAAGACCAAGGCTGTTGACTGTCATGAGGGTGGACGTGTGATCTGGACCCAGTGCCTTCTCGTAGCCTGCCAGTGCTCGCTGGTACATCTCCTCCGCCTCCTTTAGCCTTCCCTGTACACGGTAGAGCTCCCCAAGATTGTTGACTGTCATGAGGGTGGACGTGTGATCTAGACCCAGTGCCTTCTCACAGCCTGCCAGTGCTCGCTGGTACATCTCCTCCGCCCCCTTTAGCTTGCCCTGGTTATAGTAGAGACGACCAAGGTTGTTGACTGTCATGAGGGTGGACGTGTGATCTGGACCCAGTGCCTTCTCACAGCCTGCCAGTGCTCGCTGGTACATCTCCTCCGCCCCCTTTAGCTTGCCCTGGTTATAGTAGAGACGACCAAGGTCGTTGACTGCCATGAGGGTGGATGTGTGATCTGGACCCAGTGCCTTCTCGTAGCCTGCAAGTGCTCGCTGGAACATCTCCTCCGCCTCCTTCAGCTTGCCCTGATCATAATACAGACGACCAAGGTTGTTGACTGTCGTGAGGGTGGACGTGTGATCTGGACCCAGTGCCTTCTCACAGCCTGCCAGTGCTCGCTGGTTCATCTCTTCCGCCTCCTTCAGTTTGCCCTGTACACGGTAGAGCTCCCCAAGGTTGTTAACTGTACTGAGGGTGGACGTGTGGTCTGGACCCAGTGCCTTCTCGTAGCCTGCAAGTGCTCGCTGGTACATCTCCTCCGCCTCCTTCAGCTTGCCCATATCAGAATACAGAGAACCAAGGTTGTTGACTCTATCAAGAGTGGACGTGTGATCTGGACCCAGTGCCTTCTCGTAGCCTGCAAGTGCTCGCTGGCACATCTCCTCCGCCTCCTTCAGCTTGCCCTGGTTATAGTAGAGAAGACCAAGGTCGTTAATTGACCCTGTAGTCATAATATCGTCGGAAATCCATCCAGCCTTACAAATCTTCCGCATCCACCACGAACATGTGTCTGCATGAGGGAGAAGCCGGCTCTGAAGCATCCAATACCCTCTGGTCGTACTACTGGGCACCGATGACCCGACAATCATTACTGCCAGTCGCAGGAACTCTCTCTTCTCGACGACATTTTGCATGTGTGAGGTCCATTGGTGCACTACCGGGTGCAATGCGTAGCTTCCTGGCACCGACTCCTGAGACTCAATCATTGAGTAGCGGAGCAGTAGCCTCGCCTCACGCAAGAAGTTGACCTCGTTGGATGCAATCTTGCAGAGCCACTTAGGCCACAGTTCTTGGCCGTCTGTAGCCGCTTGCAGTAGGCCGTGCCATAGTTCTTTGTTGTCGAGAAAGGCCCAGAGCCGGAGAAGATTTGCGGCAATCTTGCTTTCCCCTTCAATCGCTTTGAATGATATCATCCAAGTCGTTCCGATGCTTCGCTGGTAATCCACTACTGACGTGCCAGACTTGTCGTCGGATCCGACCAAGTCATCCCACTGCTGCTTATACAACCGAACATACAACGCGGCACCCCGTTCGGTCTCGCGGAGATACGAGGCAGCCTGTGCCAGCGCAAGTGGAAGGCCGTCTAGCAGAGCAAGTAGCTCTCTGCTTGCCTCGTCCATGACTATACTTTCTCAGCTTCAGGCCGAACTCGAACACCGTAAAAGTCTTACCTAGTTCTCGCCCGTACCACTGCCTAAAAATAGCCTTGGCCAGTTCTTTGTCCACTTTTATCAACCGCTTCGAACTCCCAAGCTGCGCTAGCCGCGACGATCGCGTTGTAATTAGCACTGACCCATGGTCGCCAGGCAGATATTGCGTCACGTCGTAAGCGGGTGTCGCGCCGTCTCGTTCGTAGTCTTGGTCGACATTATCGAAAATCAGCAGCCAGTGGACGTTGTCTGGCCGCGCAAGCCAGTTCAAAACATCCGCTACCGCGATATTGCGGTTATCAGGGCTGTCGAGGACAAGATTCCTGCTGCTATCTGGAATCTGACCTTTCGGAATCCTATTTGTGCAGCTAGCGAGGCTCTTTCTCAGTCCGTCTTCCGACCTGCCGTCTAGCCAGAAGATTGAACTGAACGAGGCCTTATGGCGTCGAGCAAAATTGACCGCTAGCTGTGTCTTACCAATACCGCCGAGACCGTAGAGTACAAATATCCGTCGTCGTGTTTGTCGGGAGAGAGGTCGCGGGAGAAGGCACTGCTCTAGCTCGGCCGCGTCGGATGGTCTATCCACAAAGTTATCGGATGCAGGGACACCCTGCAGAGTAAACACTGTTCTATAGGGACCGTGATCTGATCACACGATATCAGCAACTGGAAAAGGCTAGGTCATTATTTAAAAGAGATTCAAAACTAAAGGGAGTCCCACTAACATTCTCGTCCCGCCAGATTGTTTGCGCACGCCTTCATCTGTTTGAATACGGCCTGTAACCCAATGTACCGACTCGTCGCTGCCGCCATCTCCTTCTTCTTCTTCGACTCTTCTAGCCCGATGTGTTCCAGTCCGTGGTCGACGTTGAAGCGATAATATCGCCCTTCATCGTCGAGGCTCGACTTATCGCGCCGGAACTGCTCTCCTGTCTTTTCTGTCTCGGTTGCAAGTTCTTTAAGGGTAGTCCAGATTCCTAAAACGTCATCTCGCACTGGATTCAGTGTGGGCATTCCCGTGCCAATCGACACTAGACACTTGAGCCCGCCCCACAATCGGTCGCCCCACACGTCTTGAGCCTGGTTCCACAGCGCGTAAACGGGATTGTTCGCTCCCAGCGCTCCGTCGACAAATTCCTCGTTGAAGGGACCAATGGTAATAGGATCGAAGAAGGACGTAGCGGCAGACGTCGCGCGGCAGGCCTGCCATATTTTGGTCGAATCCAGCAGGTGGCTGCCGCCACGGGGGTGATCGGTAGCTCGTTAGGCAGACAGTGTCGCTAGTTTGTTTGCTCGTCGCGCAGACGAAGCTAACGGATTATATTAGCGTGCATCAGCTAAAGAGTTAATGTGGACGTACATTTTGCAGCAAGAATCAGGAGAGTCCTTAAGTAGTGTGTCCTGGTCAAATCCGCGGTCTGCTAACATCTGCTTGATTTTTTGCTCGAGCTTGGCCGCGTCGAATCTACCCTGGATCTTCCCTCTGATCGTGACACGATGACTCTTCTTCTCGAATACCTCATCAGACAGGGAAGTGTATTTGTCGATGCACTCATCGACAGTCATGTGCAGGCGACCAAGCATGATCGCTAATAGGCCGCCAGTACTCGTGCCGCCGATCATGTCGAAGTAATCGCAGGGCTTCGGCGGCGACTCGGAATCGACGGTGGCCATGAGCTGCTGAAGGATCATGAGTGAGGATAGACCACGGACGCCGCCGCCATCGAGGGCGAGGAGACGGATTTCGTCGCCAGGCATTGCGAAAGTGTATTCACAAAAGCACGGATGATAGCAGACCAGAAATGGAGATGGCAAGAAAGACTTCAAATATGACGATTCTTTGAAGACAGGCTTCTGGAACCAAACTAGCAATTCCATGATGATATAGCATTGATCACAATGAAACAAGTGGCTGCTATCTACCGAGAATCTTACTGTAAGATTAGCGTTCTCGTATCCTCAAAGTGGAGACCTTAATGGTTGTTTTGCGACTCTTGGAACTTTTGTTTTGGTACAGTATCGCTTTGTCGTCCCGACGAATTACTTTTTCCTGGGGCGGGTATATGCTACCTAAAACTGAACACAATACAAGTATCTTACGCTCATACGGCACTGCTGATTGGGAGCCGTAATATTGCATGGTCTAGCCTTGGCGATCGCCCGGCACAGTGCAATGGTTCGTCATGTCAATACATCAACCACCACCCATCTGAGCCAACTTACCTTGGAAAGCTACCTTCATAGAATCGTCTGGCCTCTCCCGTAGGCTGTGGGCGATCTTCCGACATAGAACACTTTCTGCAAGTTTCCTTAGTCGCCTGCCGTTAAGTGCTGCGGGCAGAATCAGGTCTCGGTCGGTAACTAAATTGCGTAAATCCCAGGTTATTAAGACTGCATTTTTGGTACAAGGGAGATGAACGTTTCTCAACTATTTCCTGGTGATCGGGTGAAGGGCAGATTATATAGATTGCGTGCATTCACCGCCAAGGTAACCGGAGTGGAAGTATATGAAAGAGTCAGTCCCCAAATATGAGGCAGATCAGGTTGGGAGGTATGATCATCGTCAAGAGCAGTGAAAGTTATCCTCTTAAGGCAGTACTGTAGATGCTAACGATGAGCCTAGGAATAGATCTATCGCATGTTAGCTTGCAATAGAAGAGTGCCACGAAGCGTCAAGTCAAAGAAAGCTGTAGCTGACAGGCGAGGTATTGTAAATCACAGCTCCTGCTGTCCGAATAAGCGCCCAGATTGTCGCTCGGACACTCGGTTCGTATAGTTTGCCAAATCCCACTGAGGCCGGCTCCCGCTGTTTGTGTTTGAATGGTTTGCACTTTCATCGAATGTTCTGGCTGCCATGAATCGCTCATACAGTTACTGGACACGAGTCATGGAATAATTTCAGTTAAAAACTGTATATGTGACGATACAGGAATATTGATATTCCGGAGCTATTCTTAATAGTGACTGGTGGGTCTTGGCGTTAGGGTTGGGGAAACAATCAAAGAGTGTAGGCGGCGACACCGGTTTCCGGAAGTACTGTATCCCATGAACCTACTGTAACTGATGGAGTCACAGGAGCTGTACTTCAAGGTACTTTAGTGGTACATGGGATCAATCGAAGTACCGCATCAAGGAACGTTGTGGTCGATATTAAGGCTATATACAGCTGCTGCGTTGTGTACCGAGCGGGAACTAACCCCTGACGGATGGCGGACCCACCCGCGGGAGGGCCCGAGACCCCCTCCCACAAACACGCAAGAAACCATCGCCAGCTTCACGGACGACCTCGAAGCCAGAACTACCGTCGAAAGCCGGAAGCGAACCCGGAGTGGAGATATCTTCGCTCCGTCGGATCCAGCCGGTCGAATCACTACCAAGGAGGTGTGGAAACTGATCAGCACGCTGAAGGACGTCATCCGCCACCAAACTACGACCATCGCTGCTACCCAAAACGAACTCCAGGAGATCAAACACAACCAGAACGTCCTCCAGGAACAAAACGAAAGGCTCCACGAGGAAGTGAAAGCTTTACGGGTGCAGCTCGAAAGCGCCCCAGCAGCGACCGCGACTAAGTCCTGGGCAGCAGTCGCAGCCAATGGCAGCAATGCCACACCCTCGCCGAACCCCCAACAACCCGAGAAAGAGCAAAACTGCGTCCGAATCAGCACCCAGAGAACCTTTGTTGATCCAAGAGACAATGAAGACAGCGACGGGAACGCATTTGGACGATATCTTCCCACCGACGTCGTCAACACCCACATTCGCACTGCATTGCAAAGCGACGATGCAACGCAAGACGCCCAAGTGGCAGGCATTGGCACCACCAAGACCGGCTATCTTATTCGATTCAAAAATATGGAGTCGGCTGAAGCAGCGCGCAATAACACTGGATGGCTACGTAAACTAGGCAACAACACGAAACTGGTCAAACCACGATTCGGCGTTGTAGTCCACCGTACCCCTACCGAGGAATTTGACCTGGAAACAGGGGCCACCCAGGCAGCGGAGAAGATCATCAACGATAATGACTTGGCGGAACTCGGTTTCCACATTGATGAACTGGCCTGGATGAAAGCGAAAGATAAGGCCTTGGGGAAGTTCGCATCGTTGGGAATCTGGTTTGACTCCGCAGACGGAGCAGAACATATGTTACGGAACGGCTTCGTTGTCAACCAGCACTACATTCCTCACGTTGAGAGACGTGAGATCAAGAAAAAAGAGATGTTTTCGGTGCCAACGGTTCGGACACCTAGCATGGGCGTGCAAGGAAACGCCTCGATGCGGACACTGTGCAGGTCAGCACGAGCGTGAACGATGCCCACCGGGAGTGAGAGCGCGGTGCTTGGATTGTAATGGCGAACATCCAACTGGCGATCGACAGTGTCCAGGACCAGCGACCTCCAACCCCGTCAGATGCTAGAGAGAAACCTCCGCATCCTACAGTTGAACATGATGAAATCTGGACCAAGAATGGAGGCACTGATCAATGATACTCAAAGTCAATATCTGGATGTTCTTCTGATCCAGGAGCCCTCCATCACCACGTACCGCACACACGTCAATCACAGCGCCTGGCGACTATATCGGCCTACCGCACAGCTCGACGCTGGTCGGTTTCGCAGCCTGATCTACGTCAACAGACGAATCTCCACCTCCTCGCACCGTCAAATACTATGCGACCACCCAGACGCCGCAGCCATCAAGATATGGACAGCTAACTCTCAAATACTTCTCTTTTCTATCTACATACCGCCAGTACCACTTTTCACCGGCGATGACGCATCAGCGTTGCCAGTCCTCACCGCGATTCAGAGCTCCATCGCAGCTGCCACCCAAAACGAGCAGCGCTCGACCAGTATCATTGTTTCCGGCGACTTCAATCGACACCATCCGATGTGGGGCGGCAATCACATCGCGCCTAGGTTCATCGAAGACGCCAGCGACCTAATCGACTTTTTCCAGGCTCACAACCTCCAAGGCTGCCTCCCCCGAGGCACGGCAACCTACTGGGCCTTGAACAACCCGGGTCAAAACTCAACTATTGATCAGACAGTGACAGACAATCCGAACCTGCTTGTCAAATGTCATCTATACCACGAGAATTACGGATCTGACCACCGCGCCACCTACTCAGAATGGAATTTGCAGCCTCAGACTAAGCCAAGAACTAAAGCGAGGAAAGCGTACGAGCGGGCGGACTGGTCTAAAATTGGCGAGGAAGTAGCTCGTCAAATGTCCCCATGGAGGGAGATTAAGACCCGGCCAACACTCGACCGAGTGGTGGAGGAGCTCACATCAGCGACGGCCCAGGCGGTTGACCGATTCACACCCGACATGCGTCCAACGCCATACTCCAAGAGATGGTTTACCCCCGATCTTAAAGTGCAACAAGTTGAAGTCAATCAACTACGCAGGAGGTGGCAGGCGAGCTGCGCGGAGCTCGGCCGAGACCATGCTAGCACCACGGCTGCCTTTGAGGCTATGCAACAAAAGCGGCGAGCGTGGACCCGGACTATCGAGAAAACCAAAGCAGCACACTGGAGACAATTCCTAGACGAGGCGGGCGAAGGAAAGCTCTGGAAAGCCGCGACCTACATGAAGCCTCGGGAAACATGGGGTTGTACCCCAACATTGCGAGCTGGCTCTGAGGAGATCACCCAGAACGAAGACAAAGCAAAGGCGTTCCTCGATGCGTTCTTCCCCGCAATGAACACACCCGAGCCCATCCCACCAGCCTCGCCACTCCCGGAGCTTCCATGGCACCCAATCACGGAACTTGAGATTGAGCGATCACTCAGGACAGCGAAAGGGACGACAGCGCCAGGGGAGGACAATCTACCAATGTTGGTCTGGAAAAAACTATGGGTACACCTGAAAGCCTTTATCGTCCGCATTTTCACGGCATGTGTAGATTTAGGACACCATCCAAAACAATGGCGCAGCGCGAAGATCATTGTGCTGCGGAAGCCAGGCAAGCCAGACTACTCGCTTCCCGGCGCCTATCGACCAATCTCACTGCTGAACACACTCGGCAAGCTTCTCGAAGCAGTGATAGCGCGACGACTGTCCTATCTGGCAGAAAAGCACGGCCTACTGCCGAACAGCCAATTCGGCGGACGCCCAGGCCGAACCACCGAGCAAGCCTTGTTGGTGCTGTCTAATGCGATCGACCAAGCGTGGTACAAACACAAGGTGGTGACTTTAATTTCGTTCGACCTCAAGGGTGCCTTCAACGGGGTGAACTGGGTGAGCCTAGACTACTCTTTACAGGCGAGAGGGATTCCGATAGTGGTACGGAAGTGGATTGCAAGCTTCATGAGTGACCGCTATGCCAACATCGGATTCGACGATTTCCGTACCGAGACAGAGCCCCTCGCGCACGCAGGACTAGCGCAGGGGTCTCCACTCTCTCCTATCTTGTTTGCATTCTTCAACGCCGATCTAGTCGACCAACCTGTCGACTCCCACGGAGGCGCGTCGGCATTCATTGACGACTACTTCCGATGGCGAGTAGGCCGCTCGGCCGAGGAAAACCTAGCCACTATGCAGTCCGAAGATATCCCTCGTATCGAGGAGTGGGCACGGCGAACCGGATCTAGCTTCGCCGCAGAGAAAACCGAGCTTATCCACCTCACCAGAAAGAGGGGAGAACACCTGGAAGGGCAACTTACCTTTGAGGGAACCGACATTAAGCCGTCACCTACAGCAAAACTGCTGGGGGTGATGTTTGATCAGGAACTCCGCTGGAAGGAACACGT